CACTCCTGGGGACCGCCACTGCACAAGTCTGATGGCCACACAGAATTAAGGAAAACAACTGCTTCAGAACAGTGGCCCCCCAAAACCCAGAGTATGTCCAGCTGCTTTACTAGCAATCACCCCAAACTGGAAGCAAGCAAGATGGCCTCCAGTGGGGGATGGGTGCGCCAAGGGTCGCACACTGGAACGGGGGGGTATGCAGCATTTTCAGGACTGTGACACTACTCTGTGGGTCACTGTCCTGTGGACACGAGACATCATGCTTCTGTCAACCCGAGACCCGCACAGCAGATGGACTTGGTGTAAGCCATGGGCTGCATTTAATAACAAGTAGGAACAAGTTCCAGCAACCAGGACAAATGCACAAGACGTTAGTGATGAGACTGAATGGGAGGCAGTGTGAGTGTCACTGTGACCCTCAGATGGTTGTAGAAGATGAAGGTTAGCATCAAACAAAGCAGCAAAACAGAAAAGCAGCAAGTGCAAGCCCCCCTCTGGATTCAGGAGCCACCCCAGCCTCTGATGGGCTGAAGACCCCACTGCAGACAGTGCAGGAACTGAGGCCCAGAAGCTGAAGCAACTGCCCCTCTGGCCGGAGCAGCAGGCCCTGGACAGTGAAGGGACTGGGCTCCCTCCCTGGAAGCACAGGCTGGCCTCCGACATGGGGGCAGGTGACAAGATGGTGCGTCCAGTAGGTTCCTTCCTCTCCCCGACCACGTGGACCCTTGGCTCCTGTAAGGCAGCCTCCTTGGCACTCCGGGTCCTGAGGAAAACAAACAAACAAACAAACTCACTGTTGTGGAGTCGGATCCAACTCATAGCGACCCCTCCTTGGGTTTCCGAGGCAGTATCACTACAGAAGTAGATTGCCCAACCTTCCTTCCGAGGAGTGGCTGGTGGGTTTGAACCGCCAGCCTTCTGGTTAGCAGTCAAGTGCCTTAGGCACTATGCCAGCACAGCTCTGATCAAGCCAAACCAAACTCACTGCCATCGAGTCAGATCTGACTCATAGCGACCCTTCCTCGAGTTTCCGAGGCAGTATCACTACGGAAGTAGATTACCCAACCTTTCTTCCAAGGAGTGGCTAATGGGTTTGAATCTCCAGTCTTCTGGTTAGCAGTCACATGCCATAGGCACTAAGCCACCAGGGCTCCCTAACCACCACCACTTTGGGATGCAGCGAGATCTCCTCGGGCCTGAAGGCCAAGCGCAGTCCCTCAGGCGGCCAGGAGATGGCAGCATGAGCTCGAAAACCATGCTGCTTCCAGAAGCTTCTCTCCCCACTTTAATTCAAGGGAGATTTGGCTTTTCATAGCCAGACAAGGTGCTGCCAGCAGGTGGGCCTCTCGCCGGACGCCTGTGGCTCCAGGACCCAGGTCGTCTGTCCTCACCTGACCACATCTTCCTGTGCCCTCAGCCTTCTCCACCAGCAGACAGACAGCAAGGCAGTGTGGGCCCTCTGGGGCTCTTAGTTTCCCCACCGGCCCTGAGGAAACACCGGGCCCTCTCTCGGCTGGCCAGGAGTGTCAGACACCCAGCTCCCAGGCCAGGCCACAGGCGAACCCAGGAGTCCCTGGGCGGGACCAGACCCGGCTTTAACTCACAGCCCTGGGGCTGAGAAATCCACTGTTTTCTGACAAGGTTCTTCTCCCCACCCCACCCTGTCCTGCACCCCAAGCCTGACCTCCACCTGTTCATTCCCTCTACCCTCCACTGACCCCCACTGCCACACCCACACAGCAGCTACCAGCACCCCTCATGACTCAGCACCCCACATCCAATACATTCACAGGGACATCCTGTCCACACACATCCTCCTTCTGTCCCAAGATCTGGGCCAGGTCATCCCAGAGGCCGGGCATTCCATCAGCCTCACTGTCCCCACCCACCCCCAGTCCCTGACCACATGGCCACTGCCCCACTCATGTCACCCCACAGACTGTTCCCCCAAGTGATGCTCATGCACCTTCAGACCTTGGCAAAACACCTACCTTCCCGCCCGCAGGGTTCTCCATGCTTCCCTGCCACCTTCCTGCACCAGACCTCACCCAGGACAGGACCTGGGGCTCACGTCCCCTCACAGAGGCAGCCTGGGTACACCTTCATCCCAACCTCCTCATCCTTTGCCAAAGCCAAGCACACCTGCCTTCTGGGCCCAGGAGCAGGTCCCGGAAAAGGTCAGTGATGGAGGGACGTCCGTGCAGCAGCCTCAGTTCTGCCCACCCCTTCCCCCGGAAGCCTCCACCTTCTGAGACCACCCTTCTGCTCTGGAACGTGGTGCTGGGCCCCACCGGGGTCTGGAGCGTCCACGGCTCAGGCCGGGGACAGATGGCAGCCTCCCAGTCCTCACTCTCCTAGGGCCCTCTTCCTCCATCCGCCCTCCGGTGAGGACCACGACCAAACGTGCTCCCCAACTCCACGGAAGCCGCCGCCAGCGCCTCGGGCGGACAACTGAGAGAAGGCCGCTCTGGGGCCGCGGTGGGTTTGGTTTTTGGTTTTGGCTCCTGTATGAGGGCAACCATCAAATCTCTGATCGACTTGGAGGACCGTGGAAACAAATTCA